GAAATCTGAAACCTTGTGTGAATCAAGTATCAACTCATGATTTATCTACTTTTATGTTTTGGAAAGTTGCAGGAATTATATGTTAGAGGGGAGACCATTCGGCATTGTTCAGTTTCCTTTGTGTTGCTTCTGTAATTTCTTTATTTTCTTTTCCTTGTGCAATGAACTTGTCATACTCTATGTAAAGAATGTTTCTTATACTTTTCATACATCAATCACAGTCAAATTATGACTCAAAGCAATAGTACATTGGCTATTGTTCTTTTACAAACTCCATTGACTTATGTAATTAACTAGGTCTATTGCAACGAGATCACAATTATCTTTATTATTATTAACTTATAGTTGTATACTTTCCCATGTAAATTATCATGTGTAACTTAGTGCTTCTTCTTACTTTACTGAAAATATATAGCTGAGAGCCTGTTATATGCCCAATAGCTTCTTGGCAGGAGTAACGATTTTCAAGTGGCTGCAACTCATCGGCATGCACAAAAGGTATTTGGCTGTGGAGTTCACCTTTAAGGAGAACAACTCTTGATGGAACAGAATACAACTTGTTACTGCTGGACACAGAAGGAATTGATGCTTATGATCAAACGGTTAGTTTCCACCCTTTTAACATTATTGGTTTTCTGAAAGAGGATACTAACCTAGAACATGCTATATGTCTTTTATATTACATTGTCATACCTTTGTATAGCTAAACTTTTCACAAACTAAAGGAACTAGCTCTATAACTCTACAACATGCCTTGATTTTTCCTCTGTCCTTTCTATCCTTCCAGTCATTGACTTTTGCCTTTTATAAATTTTTGTTTTATTGTTGTTTCAAACAAATTTCTGTTTTTGTTTTGCTTTTTGACAGGGTACATATAGCACACAGATATTCTCCCTGTCAGTCCCTCTTTCAAGTATGTTTGTATATAACCAGGTTAGGAGCACTAAACTTGGATTTCGCTTGCTTCTTTTGATATGCGATTTTCAACCCTTCTCCCTCAGGATTCAGTGAATTTCCTTGTTGCTAAAGTCTGTTTGTTTGTTAGTTGTCTTGATAATCTCTTTAATCCTGTAATTTAGATGGGAGGTATCGATGAAGTTGCGCTTGACTGCCTCTCTCTTGTCACTGAAATGACTAGGCATATTCATGTTAGAGCCTCTGGAGGAAAGGTCAGTGCTTCTAAGCTTGGGCAGTTCTCCCCAGTCTTCATTTGGTTGCCTAGAGTAATTCACAATTTGTTTATTATCACTGTAGATTTTCTTCTGTTCTTGTTTATGAAACTATTAAAATACATTTTTATTTTCTGCAAAAGGATTTTCATTTGGATTGGGTCGAGGACAACCGCAAAATAACTCCGCGGGACTACCTTCAACTTGCATTGAGGCCAGTTCAAGGTGGTGAGAAAGATGTTGCTGCTAAAAACATGGTAACCACTTTACATGAATGTTTTGTTTGCTTTACTATGCTGTAATTATTCAATTTCTATTGTAACTTCCTCTATTTTTGGAATTGGTTTCCTGAACTTGCACGTGTTTTACTAAAAATAAAAAGAACTTGTACATGTTTTTATGCGATTTCGAAACCATCATCCTTTTCCTTCTAAATGAGTTAGCACTTAATGGTTGATTAACCATTGAGATTTTGACTGCATAATGATTTTACTTGATTTTTGCAGGAATCTTTCTTTTCTCAATATCAATTCCACATGCTACATTATCTGTTTGCCCATACTCAGAACTTCACACTATTTACGCCCAGCAACGATGGAACTTAGTCTTGAAATAGTAAGTTCCTTCATAGCCACAATAGTGCTCATCATTTGATAATTCATATTTTACCAAATGAAACATGTCACATTACATTGATTGAGATGTCGTTGGCCTCTTCAAATGTCTATGTGCCACAATTCAAACTTCCAACATCTAACTTCTTAAAATGTTGTGATCTTCACTTCTTCATTAAGGTTGGGATATGGGTCTAGAATGAATATATTCGTTCAGGAAGTGTGTTCATTATTACTTCTCTATGACAGAGAGTAAATTTTATAGCACATTTATTGATATGTATTTTATATGTTTGATTCATGGTATGATCTTATGCGCTTATTATAATAATAAAAAATCCTTATAAGACAACTATTGCACATAGACTACAAATTATTAGTACTTCAACATGAATAAATGTTTGGTTCTATCATGATTCAAGATTGAAATATGATCAATATTATTTGATAGAAGAAATAGCTCATCTCTATCTCACATGTATATGCAACTGCTCTATTCAGATTACAGAATTCACAGTGAGTTAGCTTGTGAGTTAGTTTCCAGGGAATTTGCATGCTATGTACTTAAATGAATATAAAACTATTTTTACTTTTCTCTTGGTTGCCTTTTGATTCAACACTTAGACCTCATACTGCTGAAGAATGCAGTCACAACTTCAGTAGAACATTGGACAAATTGAAACATGTCAATCACCAAGTATATCTGACCTGGTTCACTACCAAATTGTGTGGTCCTTTCTAATTTAAAGAATAAGTCTTACTAATTTTGTTATGTCCAGGTAAGAAAATATCTACTATTTCAAGTAGTAATTTATTGATTTTTACAGACATGAAAGCTTTATATATATATACATACCAACTGTAAAATTTAACTTGGACAGGAGTTAAAACTTGCTACACGACCATTTTGTTACCTCAAAAATAATATACTGGTTTTCAGTTTATTTTATATAGTTACAATAATTGTTAATTCTCAAACAAATTCTCAAAAAATCCTAAAAGGCAACTTCATAGCAATCACTCAAGATAAATACACAATACATATACTTGAACAAAGATAAGTGATTTCTGCCATTTTTATTTCTACTTCATATTTATCAATTTCCAAATTTATATATCTAATAATAATAAAATAAAATTATGGAGCTGAAAAACAAACTTGGACCAAAGGCTATTCAAATTATGCTTTCAAATGTAATAACTTCTTTTTCTGACATATAATTTATCATTAAATTTTACTATCAAATGCAATAACTTTTTCTCTTTTTTGGCACAATCTCATTGGCTGCCAAATCTATCAATTTTAAAGAAGACACTTGTACTTTTATATAGTATAACGTGTCTACTTTGTATTGTATATATTTTTATATAGATACTATATATATATTATATATATACACATTATTACTCATTATTCATCATCATCATTACTCATAAAGCACAAATTTGTCATCCTTTCCATTGAAGAAAAAAAATATTGCTCTCTTTCTAAGGTATTTTTCCCCTTTTCATGTTTTCCCTCTTCCCATTTTCAATTTTTCTTGCAGATTTTAGTTGTCATCAAAGGAGAAAATCAATATGGGACAAAATTAAACTTGTTATTTTCAATTAAAATTTCAATTTTGGACAATATTTTCTTGCATGTTCTTCCTAATTCAATTGTTCATGTTCATGCAACCACATAAAAGAAAGGACTTTCACTCAATAGTTATGTTATCTTACAGATACTACTGCTTGGTTAAATATTTCTAACAAACATGGTACTAAGATTGAACATCGATCAAATAGCATTAACAACACAAGATTAAATTTGCAAAGTGCAAATTGTGGAAATCGGACGCCCGAGAGAAAGCCCTGACAAGAAATGTAGATTCCAAAATTTGATTTTGGAAGATGAACAAGTGAGCTCATTACATTTAATCTCATGAATATTCTCCTTTTTTAATATTTACCTCATATGAAAATTTTTGTTTTATTTTACTCTTAGTAAACAGTTTAACTTATTCTCAGATCTCTACAACTCTTACTTTCAGGAATGCCAAATAAAGGCAGTACTGTATGTAGATGAAATTGAACCGTACGCAGAAATGCTTAAACTCGTGAATACCTATCTCATCTCTACCGCAAGAGTCAAAATCTCCCAAACTTCACACGGCAAGCCGATACACAAATTTTACTGGGTTCTTGACAAAGAAACAGTAATTGAACATATCACACCATCTAATGGAGTTGAGAATCCACTTCCACCACCAACCAAGCTGAATCTCACAACCTTTGACCGCATTCCTCACATGATGCTTTATTCTGCTGTTGAAATCGGTATATCCACCCTATTAACTTTAACAACAGTAAAATATACCTGCTTACTGATACACACACTTACAACATTTCATTCTTTATTATATACACAGATATACTGGCAATCGTTCTCCGTTGTAGTCCTCAAAAATACGCAGGTCGCAGTAATCATAAGTGTCAAGAAATTATCATTTGTGACAATCAGTAAGCCCATTTTGCCTTATATTTTCCCATTTAATGAAAATATTTTGAATAAGTAAACACTTTTATTGTTTACTTAATCGTACCATCACTTATCATCTGGTCGTTATCATGGTACTTCAGCAAAAGTCAATTTCTCCTCACTCTATGGGAGGATTTTGGAGAAATTGAAGGAAATGAAATCAAAGCAAAAATTGAAAAAGAAATGGATCTTATTGTAATCCTTGGCAGGAATATAAGAATCTCTACTTTTCAAGGTACATGCATTGAACTTTTTAGCAAAAAAATTTATATGATAACAAAACGTTATGCAAGCATTCTGTCGTACAGGGTTGTCACTGTAGAGTAGGTACAATTCAACGATACGCGTAGCTCCTACTTACCCATAGGCACTAGAACTCACCAAATGGTACTAACATGCCATCACTATTCTCTAGCTTTAATTTGCATTTAAAGAACCTATTAAACCAACTATTTGTTGTAACAATAGGGCAAAAGAAAATAAATCAATGTTGTTAGGTCGGGCGTCGAACAAAACCTCAACAAGCTCATTTGCCCCTCTCATGGTATTGACTCCTGCCGGCCAACAAGTTGTCTCTATTGAACAAATTTCATAACCAACTTCTATAAGTCATAATTCAAGCTGATAATTTAAGAATTTGCATATTTATTAAATAATAAAAACAAATTTTATTTATTCATCAATAACTCAACATGTATTATGTATATGATATTTCCCAACAGATGGGACTCTTCTATGTTGAAGTAGAAATGGCCATATCAGATGAATTGCAAGATTTTTGTGTACTTGAATGCTCAGGATGCAAACAAAAGAAGCGCACAAAAGATAGAAAGGATTTTCATTGTCCAAAATGCAATCGGAAAACAACATTACTTCCTCGGTATTTCTCCTTCTCCTTCGTCTTTGTTCAATTGATATATCTACTTAAGAAAACATATTATGTGCTATTGATAACCCGTATATATGACAATGTTCACTGATGTGCATCATTTATAACAGAAAATAGTGACAAGTTTATACCAAATTGACTTTACATTAGTTGCTTAGTAGTTCTAAATAGTTTTACTTTAAGATATCTTCATTTAGTACAACTATATGTTTGAAAAAATAATATAAGACCTATACATATACAGAAGCATTAAGTTATACTTTAACTATGTAAGTACCAAAATCGAAAACAGTTTTTGGTAGAAGGCTGTCCTTCAACCTCTAAAATTAATAGATCACATACATAACAACAAAAATTATTGATATGTATTAAGAATGAATCATAAATTGTCCCTATAATAATAATAGAAAAAAGCACATTAAATCAAATCTCAAATAGTCAGAAAAAGGAAAAGTAACAAACACTCATATTTTTAACTTATCATGATTTCAGGTGTATCTTTCAAATTGATCTTACTGACGGTACTGCTATAGTCACAGCATCTATCTCTGCTGAATTGGGAGAAAAACTACTCACCATGACAGCGGAAGACATATTTGACATAACCTGTGCTAAGGTGATCTCTTATTCCAGCCAACGCATCTATTGTCACAAAGAATTTCTTCTCACTCTTTACATTTACAGAGGCAATACTTGCATATTAATCATGTCCATGAGGTGTTGTCCAACAAACTATTTCAAATTCAGCTAAGGAAGTCATCTTGGGGTACCTCAAACAACACACAAGCAACTTACTCCATTATTTCCTACATGGAAAAGCAACATACTCCACCAACCACTATTGATAGGAATTCCAAAAAGGTAAGACCTTTGGAGATAAGTGAGATGGAGGTGACAGAAACAACTACTGCAGCTGGTTCTTCAAATGCAACTCTGAAATTTGAACCACCCACACCAACAAAAAAACTGTAAAAGGTCAGTCTACATCTGATTATCACATTTATTATTCAAAATCAAACTATAAATCACAATGATTAACAATTCAAAACATTTACAAGTATTTGAAATTTAATAAAATTTAAGAGTGTCATTGATAAATTATAAATTAGTTTAACAAATCATGAACTACTTGAAACAGGAATGGAAAAAAAATAGAGATAATGTGTCTGCCCTGTCTGTCTTTGATGAGAATTAGTTGTTGCCTTTGATGAGGTTGGATGCTATGGTTTGATACCTCATTTTGAGGTTGAATCATTGTTGCATTTTAATCTTTTTCTGCTCCATTTTTTTTGATGTATTTTAGACCATGGGTTGCTGATTTTGTATCGTATTGCTGCTGAATTTTAGACTAAACTATTTGTTACACTTCTGATCAAATTTCTATCTATTGTTGCTATGTGTTGAGCTAAATCTTGCTACACTTTTGGCTATATTTGAGCCAATGGTTTTCCTATGTATTTGGCTAAACTTTGCTGCACTTTTAAGTTAGCCAACTGCTGCATTTTTTTCAAAAATCAGGTATACCATGCCTCTGTTTGCATCTTTGTTTTTGATATGCCTTCAGAATTCTGAATAATTATAATTTAATCTTATGAAAAACAGACCACCCAACAATGTAAATCAAGTGATGAGCTTCTGCAATAGCATAACATATATCTTCCCAACATTTATTGTGTTAAAAATTTGTACCATTTTCCAGTTTAATTTCTGCGAACTTTACATTATAACTTACATGAGCATCTTGGTATACTTTCACTGAACCTGCTTACCTCACTGGAAAATATGAATTTCTCACCCCTAAATACTGAGGATCTGAAGCAATCCTCTGTTTGTACAATGAGTTTTTCTCAAATTCTGCCAATTATCTCATGTGTTATTGCCTATTTAAATACAGGACAATGACAACATCCAGCTGATATGAATTTAAATATTGTATTTTCACTTTTTAACATACCTTAATTTCTCTAATTACAGGAACTTCCTCACTTGATTTTGTGACTTTTGCTTAATGAAGTTTTTGGATTCTCAGTCGATTCAAGTTTGCTCAATAGGGAGAATGAAATGAATCAGTTAACTTTTTGTCCAGATAATGAATAAGTTAACTTTTTGTGAAGCCTTCGTTATTTAGCTTCGCTGATAATATTATATTCCACATTTTTGTCATATATACTTTTTGAACGGTTTCACTTTTGTCATTAACAACTCAACTTTCTAAATTTACTAACACTAAAAATTTTCTCAGGAACCCCTAACAACTCCCTATGCTATGGTTTTGGGAATGATGAAGAAGATCAGCAACTGAAAATGAACAGCAGCATCCACATGTTGATCTCATATGTCAAAAAAATATTTTGATTTTATTACCTTAGTTAATATGGATCATTTTGATGTCCAATATCAGTTGTACATATATTTTGAATATCTCTAATACTATATAACATATCACATTACCTTATCTTCTGCGACAACTATCATCAATGATTCTGATATTTTGACTATTTGCGCCCGTGCTTGCCACGGGCCTTTCCCATCTAGTATATATATATTTATAACTTTAATGTGGAAGGAAGTTATAATCAATAATAGTATATCTTGTTATGTATGTGCGATATTTACAATTTATTTTATTTTGTCCACAACATCACATTTGCTATATTCTTCAAAATACTTCTTGCACCATGTATTCAAATTGTACCATAAAAGATTATCCAAACCTTCTTGTCCTAATTTTCTCATTGTCTCTATATTTTCCATCATCTCAGCTTCAAATGTGGATTCAGCAATCCTCCAAAACACTCTTCTTCTTTCAACTCCTTTCCAATTTTTTGACCAATTTGCAAGAACATGTCTTGCATATTTTCTATGTTCAACAAGTGGCAATAAAGTATCCACAACAATTTCTAGTCCCTAACAAACCAACATAACAGAAAAGAATAAATTAAAGTGCAAAACTCAACAACAATAAAGTAGTAAGATGGATATTAGTAATTACCTTTTGCATATCACTAATGATGGATAGTTGATGCCCTTCTCCAAGTTCAAGATCATTCTTCACTAGTTCAAGAAACCATGTCCAGGTATACTGATTCTCAACCTCAACAACTGCCCAAGCAATAGGGAGAATTTGGTTGTTTCCATCTCTACAAACTGCCACTAACAACTGGACTTTACACACAACTTTGAGAAAACACCCATCAAAACCAATCAACCTTCTAGCACCTCCAAAAAATGCTTTATTTAAAGCATTGAAGCAAACATAAAATCCTTCAAAAATTTTCTGCCCAGTTTCAGAATCTTCTCCAACCTTCACTACACAAGTACTACCTGGATTACTCCTTAATATTTCATCTCTATAACCAAAAATCCTACCATACTCCACAATGTGATCACCCATGATCTCTTGTAACACTCTAGTCCTAGCTCTTCTCACTGTTGTCCTACCAACATTAATATCCAACTCCTTTCTAATAATGTCCTGCAACAAGACAATGTTGATGTTTGGCTGTTGAGTTATTCTTTCTTTGCATTTGGTGGCCAAAAACTTTGAGTTGCACAAGTAGTTATGAGTTGATGTCAAACATTTATGGATAGTGTTGTATGTTTTAACAATGAAATCTCCACTAGTTTTATCCTTACTTGCACACAACAACCAAGGACAACACTCTTTACAACATCTCACTCTAACTCTGCCAGGCTCATTTACATATTTTTCAATTTGAATATGCTCTTGGATTGCATATCTTGTCACTGCCACTCTAAATTCTTCAACAGTTCCAAAAACAGTCCTAATTCCCAAACAATCTTTTTTGCAGTTGTATCAAACACAACTCTATTTGGGGTTTTCTTCCTCCTAACAGGTTTATGCACTACTTGATCAACCTCTTCACCATCTATTTCAAAGCTAGGAACTTCATCACTTAGATAATAAGGTTCATCACCTCCAAGCTTACCAACTAAGCTTTCCCTAATACCATTATTTGTCTCATCATACCCTATATCAGGACCTTTCTCATTAACATTAATCTGATCTGAAGTAGTTCCCCTACTTCTCCTTTGTGACCTTTTGAAATGCCTCTTGGTTGCCCTTATATCTACATACTCTTGATGAACATCACTGTCAACCTCAGTATCTTCACTAGTATCCTCTTCAGATCCTTATTCATCTTCCACTTCATCATCGGTTGGATCATCATCTATTATAGGATAATCAAATGAAGGAGGAGGCACAATAGAAGGAGATGGTGGAGGCACAGTAGAAGACTGAGCTTCAAATGGAGTGCTGGAAGTTTCAAAAGGACCAGTTGTAGGGATGGAAGGAAAAGTAGAAGTAGAAGGCTGATTATTAGGGTTAGAAGTCTCATTAAAAGATTCCTCACCTACCCCACTTTCAGTCACATGGGGGACAAACTCCAATTCAAGTGGGGCCTGATTAGCTTCACTAACCCCATGAAAAACATACACCTCCACTGTATCCCCATCATTCATCATATTGAAAAGGTCAAATATAGCCTTATCATTATCAACAAAGACCAATAACCCATCCCTCTTGATGAAAAAATCACAATCTATTGTATATTCTAGTTCCTTTATGTAGTCCCTCAACTCAAAATAAGACATCCTATCAACATCTACATCTAGGAATTTTGTCACATGTCATCCCAATATATTTAGGTGGTGGACCAAATTCTAATTCCCCCCATGATACCTCTTAAAGTTATAAGAGTAAAAGTCATCCTGAAAAATCATGTAACAACAACAAACACAATTCAAACACACATTTCAATAACTAACTCTAACAAGTTGTACACAACAAACATAATCACTAACAAACAACAACAGTAGAAACACTAACTAACAAAAGTAGAAAAACGCACTAACACTAAGCTTTAACAGTACTAACAGAACAAAAACACTAACAATAGCTGTTGTTAGTGTACAAATAGAAGTCTACAAATGTATCAAAGACAAATAATAAGATTCGAACTAAGTGGATAACATCTAACCCTAACCTAAAACACAATCACAAAACCCTAATCACTAACAGTTGCACTAAGTCAATAACACAATACCCTACACTAACTAAGTCGATTACCCAACATACTCAAAAATATCCTAACAATGGCAATTGTAGGAGGTCGATTCTAACACTTCATATAATAATCCATAAAATCAAAATTATCAGAAAAAAAGTGAAGATTTTAGAACCCTAACCTGTTAGACCTTCAATCTCCAAGAATCTTCACAAATACACATCAACAACGATCAAAAATGATCAACAACGAGATTGTCAACAACAACACTGTGTATTTCGTTTGATTTTTTAGGGAAAAGTTGAGAAATGAAAAGACAAGGAGTTCACAAATTTTCTTCAAAAAAAAAGGGTCGGGTCGGGTTACCTAGAGAGTGAGCAACACGCGCATTACATAGACGATGGAATGAGTAAAAATGGTCAATTTACAACGATATATAGTTGTTTAGTGGTGTGATAGGACACTTTAAAAGTTTAGGTGTCTTTATGCAAATATGGGACAACTTCGATGATGTCTTTATGTCTTTTCTATTTTCTTATACTAATTAGACATCCTAGCTTGCATGTGTTTATGCTCCTAGCAGGATGTTGGCATTATCCAACAATTTGTTTTAATTTTGAATTGAGTTTACTTAAGTAAGAAAATCTTTTTTGAATCTTGTTATTTTAAATATGTCATCAGGAAATTTTAGAATTATAGACTTGTTAAAAAAAATTGATAATTTTTTGAAATGGACTAAAAAGAAAAATAAAACAAAAAATTAAAGTTAAGAAAACATTATTTGTGAAATAAACTTTTAAAAATTACTTAAAGAGGCGATTAGAATAAACACTTCATGAAATGATGCTTTAAAGTAAAATAATTATTTTAGTCCTGTATTATTGCTTTATTTTGATTTTGATCCATGTGATATTTTACTTCCAGGTTAAACCTTTAATTAATTATAATCAATTATTTTAGTCCTCCTACTAACAGTGATAACCAATAAAAATAGGTTTGTTATTTTAGTCTTTTATACAGAAAGCAAAACCTTAACATACGAAAAAGTTCACAAATCTTTCCATAACATCTTTTCTCATATACAATCATATTCACCCCTCCCTCCTCCCTTCTTCCATTAGGATGACAGTGACATACTATTTATTGATTAACAAACAATTATTCTCATTAGTAATCAATCATGAAAATTCAAACATGTAATCAATATAATTAATTTTGTTGGATCTACTTTAAAAACAGAAGTTTAGTTATATGTTTATTCTCTTTTCAATTACTCTATAGAATATAATTGTTAAACAAAGTGACCCAGACACTTTCCATGAATTCAATTTTCATTATCACTACCCATCCCCTTCATAATCCCCCTAACAAAAAAGAATTGAAGAGTAAAATAAGGACTAGAAATAGATCTTGAATAAAGTGGTCAAGTCTTTAATAATTAAGTTAGCATCAACACAACTCAAATTAAAAATTAATTTGAAGTTTCATGATTGATTACATGTTTTTGTGTAATATTTGTATTATTTATATTTTTTGTTAGATGATTCTTAGAGCTTAACAGAGAGAGTAAATAACTGCCTATGTTTATTGATTAGAATGACTACAAAATTAATTACATGTAATGTATCTAATACTATTTATAGACTAACTGACTGACCACTCTAACTAACTACTACATAATTTGTTTTAAAAATTCTACTAATGTAATTACTATATTACCCTTTCTCTACAATCTTCTTAACACCCCCCTTCAAGTTAGATGTTGTAAAGACATTCAAGACTCCTAGCTTGGATGGTAGATAATAATGTTGACAGCTTCCAAGTCCTTTTTTCAGCAAGTGTGCCTCTTGATCAGTTGTTTAGAAATACTCTGGATGTACCAAACCTTGTTGCACCTTCTTCCTTATGAAATGACAATCAATCTCTATGTACTTTGTTCTCTCATGAAACACTGGATTATTTGCTATGTGCATGGCTGACTTACAGTGTTTAAACAACTGAATTGGTCTAGGAACATCAACACCTAACATTTGAATAAAACTAATCAGCCATATCAACTCAGACACTATTAAAGCCATACTTCTGTATTCAGATTCTGCTGAACTCCTACCTACTGTGTTTTGCTTTTCAATTTCCATGATATCAAGGATTGACCAAGATTCACAGTGTCACCAGTTACAGACTTTCTTGAGTTAGGACAACCTGCCCAATCGGCATCACAAAATGCTGTCAAAATACACTTTCCTTCTGCATGCATTAGAACACCAAATCCTGACATGATGTAAGACCCCGTAGCCAAAACAGAACAAAAAGCAACTTTCAAAAAAAAATTACAGGTGCAACCAACGGTGAAATCGGCGGTCCATAGCTCAGACGACGGTCCATACTGCACAACCGTTGATGGGATCAGAAACTCCCATAAATTTCAGCCTAGAAAATTGATTAAGTCGTAGACGATGGACGTACTTATGATCCATAAGTCAGACGAAAGTCCATAGTTCGTCACCGTCGATCGATACCCCCATTCACCCACTCTCTGACAAGAGCTACGGATGACCAGCACGGTCCGTAGGTGGAAAATTTGCAGACAGTTAAGGGGAAATGCAGTTTGGTCAATTTCAAATGGTCATAACTCTTAGAACAAAATGAATTAGGTGTACCATGACCTACCCACAAATATATAATTGAATTATCTTTTCATAGCCAACGACCTTGCTAAAATCAAACCCCCGAGTAAAAAGTTATACCCATTTTAGTAAAGGCCTGTCGAATAGGCTCAGTCGACGGACCCAACGACGGGGCATTGCTCAGACGACGGGCCGTCAGTCCTGGCCGTCGTTTGGTCCGACAGAAACTTACCTAGGGGTCTTTTGGTCTTTTATCACTTTGTTTAAACCTTAAGTTACGTTGTTTTGACCCTAAATAATCAGATTTTAGTCAGTTTAATCCTAGAAACATAATTAAAACATATCTAAGTCAAATCATTACATCAAAATTTAGAAATTAGAAGCAAGAAAGAATAAAAAACTCAAGAACTCTAGTTCAAGAATGAAGCAAGTTTCCAACAGTTCCAGCCTAGAAATCTAAGTGTTTCTCCGTGAATTTCATCACCAGGTATGTGGGATTTAACTAGTGGGTTCCTTTCTCCAATTGAGTCCTAGTTTTCAGTCAGATTCTTGATTACTATATCATGATTAGATCTAGGGTTTCTAGAACTTCAAGAGAACTTCATGAACTTATGAGTTATATGTTCCAAATCAGATTATCATGTTATTATTCAGTTTATTGCATGAATTTCAGAACTCTATTTATGTATTACTTTAGTTCTTGAATTACACATGTTAGGTCAGATATTTCATACATTTCAAATATACATGCCTCAGTTATAAATCATAATTATCAGATTAATTATTGCATTCTCAGTTAGCATGTTCAGGTTTGAGCTATCCAGTATTTACAGAAACTCAGATATAAACAGTTAATTTACAGAATCCAAAGGGAGTAACATAATACTGAGTTGGACTAGGGTTCACCGTACCAATTAGTCCCAGAACTACTAGTCAAATAGGTTTTAAGTCCCCTCTGTGGGCAATTAGTTCAGTGATGACGCCAGTATGCCTTTATACCTTTGGCAAGTATATTGAATCCTCTAGATGGGGCGTATACATCGGACTCCACATTTAGCTCATGTGGTTTTATTATCGGTTATTAGTAGTTCCCACATCGGGCGTATACATCGGAATCCTCTAGATGGGGCGTATACATTGACCATTTATTAGTATATTCAGTGTTCAATTTCAACATGTTATAAATTGATCATTGCATCCAGCTAACTCAGAATTCTATTTATCATGTCAGATTATTATATTTACTTTTATGTTTGTTCAATTATATGTTATTTCAGCTTTATTCTATCCTACATGCTCAGTACCTTTCAAGTACTGACGCATATGTGTGCTACATCTTCTCGTGATGTAGGTTTAGGTTCTCAGCATCCAGATCACGCATAGATCGATTTTAAATTTCCATTTCAACCGATTCAGTGGTAAGTCATCACTCTCCAAGGACAACAGTTATGAGTTTCATTTCACTCCTTAGTCATTTAGTTTCAGTTTTTGCTAGATTTAGCTGGGGCTTGTCCAGTATTTCTAGTCCAGTTTAGAGGCTTATTTCTGACATAGTTAGTTTCAGCTTAATGTTGAGTTAGTAACTTCATTGTATTAAACTCATAAGTTTTCATATATATCAGTTTTAGCATATGGATATGCCCCATCTTTTCATTATAAATTATGATTTAGCTTCCGCAACAGTATATAGTCTTTAGTATTCTCATGCACATGCCAGCAGGTTTATCTTGGGATAACTGTGGTCATATGTTCCATGTCCACAAAACTTGGTATCAAAGCACTAGGTTAAAGTGTCCTAGGATGTCCAAAAAATTGCACTAAGTAGAGTCATTTCCATGGGTGTGAAGTGCACCAAATATAATGAGAGGGAGGCTATAAAGTATTTTAGGAAAAACTTCACTTTCTTGTTATTCTTATCGTGCGTGAGGTCTGATATTATTCCATTCTAACTTGACGTTCTACATTTTAGATCATGCCTCCTCGTAAAGATAATGCTAGGAATGCGAATGCTAGGAATGTGAACGCCAGGAATGCAAATGCAACTCTCTTAGTCCCAGATCATGCAGTCTCTAATGTTGAGTTCAGGAATGCCATGAAGATGTTGGCTCAGAGTATGACTAACCATAACAATTGGGTTCATGCTCATGTGAATGCAAATGGTGGATTAGTAGCAGCAAGGGTCCGTGACTTTGTTAGTATGAATCCGCCTGATTTTTTAGGATCACAGACTAATGAGGATCCTCAGAATTTCTTGGATGATATCAAGAAAATCTATTGAGGTAATGCAAGTCACTAGGAATGATCGGGTTGAGTTGGCATCATACCAATTGAAAGATGTTGCTCATATTTGGTACACTCAGTGGAAGGACAATAGGGGTACAATGCGTCTCCTATCACTTGGGATTGCTTTAGTGATAATTTTCTAGATAGGTTTTTCCCAATAGAGTTGAGAGAAGCAAAATCCCAAGAATTCATGAACTTAAGGCAGGGTAACATGAAAGTCCAAGAGTATGGACTCAAGTATAACTAAATCTCCAAGTATGCTCCTCACATGGTTGCGGACTCCAGGGCTCAGATGAATAAGTTTTTATATAGAGTGTTAGATTTGGTGAAAACTAAGTACAGAAATGTGATGTTACTTGGAGATATGAACATCTCTAAGCTTATGACTCATGCTCAGCAGGTTGAGTGTGATAAGCTTATGGAACAAGCTAAGGAAAATAAGAAGGATAGGACTGGGATCTATGACTATTCTCAGCGAAAATCGGGTGGTGGAAATCGCCCGCAGGGTCAGCAGAATTTTTCGGCTCTAGCCCCTTCATCATCTAGTGTTCCATCCTCCAAGAACAGGTATGACCATAAGGGTAGAGCACCAGACTCTAAATCTTAGGAAAGTGTTTCAGGCACCAAGACTTACCTCACTTTCCCTAAGTGTGGTAAGAACCATTCGGGCGAGTGTCTTGCAGAAATAGAGGGATGTTTTGGGTGCGGTCAGTTTGGTTATAGGTTGAGAGATTATCCTTCTATACAGGGTAAAAGAGGTAGTAATGGTAGAGCTTAGTCTACAACTTCAACAGCACAAGCAAGTCGCCCAAATCAGCAAGGTAACTCATCTGGTACAGGTAGCGGTCAGCGTCAAAACAGGTTGTATGCTCTTCAGGCTCGCCAAGATCAAGAAGGTTCTCTTGATGTCGTCACTGGTATGTTAGTGTATTTGACCACAATGTTTATGCATTGTTATATCCAGGGACTACTCTTTCTTTTGTTACTCCTTACATAGCATTCCAATTCAATGTCAGTCCAGAAACTGTCTTAGAACCTTTCTCGGTCTCTACTCCAGTCGGTGACCTAATTATATCTAGACGGTTATAAAGAAATTGCCCTATCACAGTCTCTCAAAAAGTCACCTCAGCAGATCTAGTAAAGTTAGAAATGGTAGACTTCGATGTCATTCTAAGCATGGATTGGTTACACTCATGTTATGCCTCAGTAGATTGTAGAACTAGGATTGTTTGTTTTCAATTTCTAGACAAACCAATCTTAAAATGGAAGGGTAGTAGCTTAGCGCCTATGGGTCGATTTATTTCTTACCTTAAGGTTAGAAAGATGATATCTAAAGGTTATATCTATCATTTAGTTCGGGTTAAGGATTCTAGCCTTGAAACCCCAACTCTTGAGTCAGTTCCAGTAGTCTATGAATTTCCAGAAGATCTTCCCGGAGTCCCTCCTAAAAGGGAAATCGACTTTGGAATTGATCTCCTTCTAGATACCCAGCCTATTTATATTCCTCCTTAAAGAATGGCTCCAACAAATCTTAAGGAATTGAAAGAGCAGTTGAAAGACCTTCTAGATAAAGGCTTCATCAGACCTAGTATTTCACCATGGGGTGCACCAATATTATTCGTAAGGAAGAAAGATGGTTCTCTCAGAATATGCATTGACTATAGATAGTTGAACAAGGTCACAATAAAAAATAAGTATCCCATCCCCAGGATTTATAACTTGTTTCACCAACTTCAGGTGCTAGACATTTCTCAAAGATAGACCTCAGATCGAGTTATTATCAGCTCAGAGTCAGAGATAGTGACATTCTGAAAAATAGCCTTTTGAACTCGGTATGGTCATTATGAATTTTTAGTTATTTCGTTTGGACTAACTAATGCTCCTGTAGCTTTCATGGATTTGATCAACAGAGTTTTCAAACAGTACATGGACTTGTTTGTTATCGTCTTTATTGATGATATCCTCAGTTAATCTAGGAGTGAGAAAGAACATGCAAATCATTTGAGAGTTGTTCTGCAGACTCTCAAGGATTGACAGTCATTCGCTAAGTATAATAAATGTGAGTTCTGGTTGCAATCCGTTGCTTTTCTTGGTCACATTGTTTCTAGAAAATGGATCCGAGTGGATTCGCAAAAGATAGAAGCAGTGAAACAGTGGCCAATACCTACCTCTACTACTGATATCAGAAATTTCTTAGGTCTAGCAGGTTATTACAGAAGGTTTATGGAAGGATTTTCATCCGCAGCCTCACCATTGACTAGGTTGACTCAGAAGATGGTCAAGCTCTAATGG